CTTCATGATTGGAAGAGAAAGCAGACGGAAAGGCGGCGAGAGTGCACGAGGAAAGTGGAGAGACGAGCAGTAGACAATTCCGCGCACTATAAGAACGACCAATCGAGACACTACAGGTCACGTCACTTGTATGTACTATATATGTATGTATGTATTATATTGCACATCATCTACGGCATCTCACGACTAGTGCGCTTCCAAGTTGCCAGCGTACAGAATTTTCCTTTTGCTAGACCGAATAGTTAAAAACAGAGTAACTTATCATTTGTACTGAATCTGTCTCATTGAAAACGGGTGGTATACAAATACACACTTCAGATTAAAGGACTCCACATCCCCGCCATAGGATTGTTGCTATCCTCTGCGTCTCTGACATGCGACACGCATGACTAACATGTTGGTAACATTAACACCATGTCAGCAACACGTAAAAAACATGTTAGCAACATCGCGTCAACTTTCTTCTCAGGGGACAACATGTTGTTGCATGTTGCCAGCATGTTTTATCCACACGTGCAGAGCAGATAGCAGCAATGGAATACATCTATTTGTTAGTGGTAGTACCGCTACGGTGTCAACAACACTTGCGCGTAAAAAAATTGTTATATCAACACATGTCCACTGAGCGCATGTTTCAAGTGGTCCCTGGACCGTTTTTTAGGTGCAACGTTGTCGCTACATCAATAAAATTTCAACAACTAGTAAATCTGCTATACTATACAATTGGGTGCACGTGATGGAACTTCAAAGGACATTTCGAGCCCCAATCAATCTACTTTCGTTATTTTCTACCATAGAGGTTCCTGCTTTGTTATCAGCCTCAAATTGATCATGCGCTTTTATTGTGCAAAGCACTATCAGCAGCAAAGCTGTCGAGACAAAGAGATGAAAGTGGTGTCAGGGGTCTAAAATTAGACACTTCGGGCAATTGCATTGTCAGCACGTGCGGGGCACTTGATGCTGGCATGATGCTGGCATGTCGGCCGCACCTGGCGCTACTGCTTTGGCTGCATCTTTGAGCGCTTAGTGAACTTTACATCGACCCACAACAATATGGCGTTGTTTTGATCGAAAAAGTGATGACGACGTGATGCGAGGTGTGTCGCGCTCTGACAGCAGCATCTCTAAAGAGAACAAAGCGATTTTGCCCGTTGCGTTTCGATTCGCTGATGAGACACCTTTCTAAGACGATTGGTGGCTGTTTCAAGGAATTCTTTGCATCTATCATGTGAATTGTAGTCTGACAAAACCCCTGTGGACCTCGTCTTTTCTTGACCCGAGAAACACTGAAAATGACATGGTAATGCAGATAAAATTGGAAGAATATTAACAGATTACAGGAAATAAAAACTGATGATAAGCTCAGGGACCTTTCCCACGTCTGCCTGAACGAAACTTTGATGTTTATTGTTGATTTTACCTAAACTACACACTGTTTGCAACCCAACTTTTATTTGAACAAATTTCTTAAAACTTGACTTTTCAACCCTAAATTTAGTACCCGTTGAATTTTGAATCTCTTTTCATAAAAGATGTAACCTATTTTGCCCTAGCTTCCGAGGCATACCATCGCACCAAATGAACTTCCTTACCCTTTCCCCTCAACCGTCTCCAATGGTCTCCAAAAAGTTTAGTGGTAAATTATGAGTTCGGTGTCTCCCAATATTCGACCTTTCGCCCTTATTTGCTTCCCAAATAACAAATGTCTATTTAGCGCATATTCGAAAACTGAAGCGAATTCATCACCATCATCAAAAATCAGTGTTTTGTCAGCATCATCGCAAATTCAGGGGCATTTTCATTTTTTCGTCAACATCTATGATTTTCGATTGCGAAAGAGATGCTATTTTGATGAGCATAAGAATCACGCTACATGTTTTGATGTGATTGCAATCGAAGAATATGAGAAATAGTGAGTGATAAAAACTAAAGATTTTTCTAATTGAAAAATGATATAAAACGCTATAATAATAATTAAATAGATAATGAATGCGAGGTAGCATGACATGATGAAAAAAATGATTGAGTTATGGCTTTCAATTCAGTCAACTAAACTTCAAAGAAAAAGGAAAGTTGGCTGCAAGTCAATCAGCTAATTTTTCGACATTCTATGCTTTTTTTATTTGAGAAAAAATTCTTTCCCATAAATACTCTTCGTTTTGCTTGTCAATTTCAATCAATTTCAATTCATGAGATAAAGAAAAACAAAACCCATTTGGTCTACTGTAATCTCAATCATGGCTAAAAAACGTTGTTGACACGACCAGAGGAGGTGAGGGGGGGGGGGGGTACGTTAGGCAATGGAGGCTAAATTACTATGGATCTATCTGTTGTCTTATTGACAAACAATGACGATTTGCACTTTATTTTCTTACTTTCCTGACTTTCAAAATAGCTTCGGATTTTGATTTTGAGATTATTGAGCCATTGATTACTCCGTTTTCTTTGCACACTCTTAGAGTACGTACTCAAGAGACGGTTATCTATGCAATGGACTCCCAATCATGGCAGCAGTCGCTTGCGTGATGTAGCGGCGCAGACGCCTATGAGTCTACGCTGCGTATCAGTGATAATCACTTGAGCTTGAGCGACCGCTCTCCGATATGTCCGCAACGACACACATCCGACCAAACCGCGCATCAAAACAAAGCCCCCTTCATTGAACATTCAAGAAACCAGATCTATGATGTGCGAACTTTGATTCTCGAAGTAACCATTAAGGGATCGTTCAGCTTGATATATTGAGTGGAGAAGATTGATCTTATTGTTAGTCAATGTGTGTTCAATGTGCGAATTGATATTTTTACAATCGAAATTGCTTCTGCTTTTTCATCAAACCTCAACAGCCATACTGTACTCTTCCTCATCCCCTCAAACAGCTCATATTATAATTTTTCATTGTACACATCACTATAGCAGTTAATCATCTCAAAATGCATTACTACTGTATCAACGGTTGTATTTCAAAGTTCACATCATCTGACAGCACGTTTTCCACTAACAATGAAATTTGAAATATACTCGCATTGTGCGTCAGTTTATTGTTACGTGGAAGTGCGTTAAGCATTATACTTTAGAATAGATTTTTGGGAATGGGAATAGCTTTTTAGACTAACCAAATAATTCGGCACTTGAATCTCCAAGAGACCATATAATAGCGTTGATAGTAAAGACGAAACCGAGTGGGGTTATGATCTAAGATCAATGTCCTTTATACTAATTCATTTTGACACAAAATTTCAGGAACTGAACTTTTACCTACGCGGAAGTGTTCTAGTGGAAGGTTAGGTGATTGATAATTATATTTACAAGTATTTAAAACACAATTATCAAGGCACAAAAAAAGGAAAAGTTCAAAAAAGTCATTAAAAAATCCGGGAATTTGGAGATATAGTCGAGTTACAGCTAATGTAACTATATTGCACCCCACGCGCGCTATTTCACTTGTAAGATTAAACCATGTTAATTTTCTGGGTTTCTTTGTTTTTTCCCTATTTTGCCATGATCACATATGTATCATCGGCTCCCAGTTTCGTGTGGAGGCGGGTTGCGGACTTCCCTTATTTTCAGGGTGAACTTGTTGAACCTCCACGTTATAGCATTGTATTTCGTACTCTCTCGTTAAGCTTATCCTTAAAATCAGGGAAGTCCGCAATCCGCCTCCACACGAATCTGGGAGCCGATCATAGGTAGTACAGCTTGTTTTGATGAAAAGGTTTACTGGCGAGTTACTAGAAAGGGTGTCGTCAGTTGCCGCGCGCAGTGTGCAGACTCAAATATCAAACTACAAATATTGTTGCATAATTTAGAGTTGTATAAATTCATAAATAAATGCTGCGCCCGAACGTAGAAGATTTTAGGGTAATAGGTCAAATATGATAGTGCGGAGAAAAAGATTCCTGACATTCCCTAATTCACAGAAGAATTTCAAGAATGTCAAGTCAAGTAGCGGTACTGACCATTTTCAATGTTATATCACCTCTACTATCCTTAATTCCTACGAAAATGTTTTCATTGTAAGCGAAAGGTTTCATCTCTGCTTCGAAAGACGAATGATCAAAGTTTCACGTTCCACGTACACACGGCACAATCGCCTTAACACGAATCGATAATCGATTGATAGTGCGGTGATAAGCGGGGCCGGCAGAATCGGTGGGTGGGAGCGGCTGGAATGCGCCGCGCCGGCGGCGAATTCGTCGCCGCCGCGACGGGGACCCGTGGAAGCAGTGTGCGGGTCGGTGAGAGAGGGGTGCGGCGTGGGTGCACGCGTACCCAAGCAGGTTTATCGCTCGGCCCGGCGACGCTCGCTGTGAGCGCTCGCACCCCAACCACACAACCATCCCACCAGCCGCTCTCACACGCATACGCACACCACACACAAACACTTCGACATCGGCAAGGCTCACTTCCAACGTTTTGACTATCAGAGTCTAATTTTTTCTAAAGCACATATCACTGTTTATGCTCACATGTGAAACTGAGCTTGCTTCTTGACTCACTTCGGCTCCTGACGGCTGTCCGCCATGGCGGTGCATTTGCGTCCCGTTGCATACAATGTCCTCTAATTTTCGTCATGTACTGCTGTAGGAGAACTTGGCCTTGTTTCACCCTCACTTCTTGAAGATGATTTCTTGTTATAAAGCTTCTTTTCTTCACTTCCTGAAGCTTCAAAATACTACTTTGTTCTCAATTCCTAATCCTCTTCGGCATTAGCGGGAACCGCGACAGTTGATTAGTTGTCGCTTATTAATAACTTTCTACGTGGCAGATGAGCTTCATCATTGTCCTTGTTACTAATATGTGGATCGCAGATGTTTGTTTTGAAGTGGACAATATGTTTACATCTCAAAGATCATCAATTATGAGAGTATCAACAAGTTTTCGCCCCTGGATATTGTATTATATGTCTTCCCTTTACTTCCAATCCGGTACATTCGAGTTACGACTTAATGTTACCCTTCCTTGTTCTCCGTCGTGCAAGTTTCACACTCAAGTCTGTATTTCAGAGCGCGGAAGCGTAATCTACCTCCAACTTTTCATTGCTCAACTGCCTTTTGGAGCTTGAGGAACTCCTTTGAAAATGAGGTGGGCATTTTCTTCTGTATCTTATGTGCGCTCTCTATGCACAGGAGATCATGCTTGTATAGAGCTGTTCTTGTTTGCGAAGGTCGGTGAGGTTTGCGGCCATTGCACCGAGCACGCATAATGTTGCTGGCGGGTAACACCGCAGTAAGGCTGGCGCCAGACTTATCCGTTTAGCCGCTTCCATCTCTGATAGGAATAGCAGGAGCTGAAGTGGATGAAGCTTCTAAGCGGATAAGTCTGGCGCCTAAGCCGCTATCGCCGTCAGCGCTGAACTTAGGCTGGAAAGCTGAGTGATAAATTATTCACCACATGAAAACAAAAACTAGCGTAAAATGCAAAGAAAAGCGAAGAAATTCAGGCATTCCAGCCTAAATCCAGCGAGGGGTTGCGAGCGCAATGACCGCAAACCTCACCCGACCTTCACGATCAGGCAGAGCTCCTTATCAGTGGGTGTCACTAATATGTGCAAAAAATCGGGCAAAAATCACCATCAAGCACATTTCATGACTTTCTCTGATTTGGGAGAAAAGTATCGTTTTTTCCGCAGGAACAGTTGCGATGACAAAACATTTCTTTCGCTGCATTTGTGCAAGTTTTCCGTGAAACGCGTTGACAACAGAGGGAGTGCAACTTGCGTCGCCTGCGTTTTTGTTCGCTCGTGAGATGGGTGATTATCAGCGATGTTGTGTCTGTTGCTTTGAAAAAAGTCGCGGGAGATTCAAGCAGTGCGGTTGCAACGCGTCTCAGCTGATCATAATCAGATTTACAATAAAAAAGATATTCCGTTTACTGTCGAGTCACCCTCAAATCAACATGCGTATTGCACAATGCGCGCGTTACTTCACGACTTGTACGCTAAGGACCCGTTGACTTCCAGGGATTTCTTCCTGGTTTCTTTTCTCATTTGGTCTAAGTAGATGCGTAATAGGTGATAGCACATAGTATCGGAGTTTGTTCCGATAGAAAAGGTTTTAACGACGAGTTAAAAAGAAGTCGTCCCCGCGCGCAGTGTGCAGGCTCAGATATGTGAACATAATTTTGAAGGCGGTTCGGGTTTAGCGCGGGATTACTTGTGATTTGGAGTCGCCCGACTTATCTGAGCTTGCGAAAGCCTCAGTTGGGGGGTGGAGGACTATATGTCGCCGAAAAAGGTCGGTCCCCGCGGTCATTTGCGACAAATACGCACCCTTGTACATGCGCGGACATGCGTTCTTGCAGGAAATCCGCGCGGGACTCTTTCAAATTCGGCGACATATGTCCTCTACCCCTCAGTTGGGTTGTTTTGTAAGATCGCGAAAGGTAACGATTATGGTGTAATGACTATCCTCCAAGTAGCTAAGGCTGTCGAACATGGCTCGCGTTGCAACCGTGCCGCTACAACGCTTACCATGTATATTAGCTATCGAAATTATTTCACTTCACATGAAAGTTAAAGAAAAAAGAGCAGACATTTTTGTTGTCATTTTCTCGTATGATCTCTGTTAGGTATGGACTAGACAGTATTCTCTCCACTCGACTATATGGCACTCTACACTAAGTGGTTGTTGCCTTCCTTATTGGTTAACGGTAACTTTACGATGACAAGTCAGCGTTGAAATAAGATAGCGCTAGTGTGATCATCGTTACGGGTTTTCAGCCGCACCCCAGTGAGAGAGAGCACATTACTGACTGACTGAACACCCACAACTCACACAGCACAACACAACATGGATCCAAAAATGGTCTGTGAGTGGCATTACGGTACCGATTTCCAGTGGTGAGGTGGTCGCAACGGTACCACCTGGTACACAAGTCGTCGTTGAAGCGAAGTTGCTCACCTCTGATGTAGATCACACTATTGAAGAGGTTCGTCAAGAAACGATACAACAAGTGCAAGACGCGCTTACGGTAAGTCTTTCACTTTCAACTTTCTTATCGCATTTTTTTTCAACGCTCAGTCATTTATTTCGTAAAGCAAACCATACTGGTGGATCAGGGACGCGTGTATAGGATCAGTATGCGGTACATCACACTTTGCCCAAATTTTTTTTTGTGCTTGAGAATGCTGATGCCTTGAGACCAAACTGTGAACTTCGTGTGACTGATATTTTCTTTGAAATGAAAAAGTTCTGTTTGCACTTTGAATAACGAGTCGGCATCTGATCGACCAATGAAGTTCGGTGGTTCCTTTATGCTATCTAAGTGCATAATTGCAGCAGTTTCTGAAGTCACACCTGTTTTTGCCATTGTATAGTGGACCGTGCTGCAAATTCAGCGCATACTCTTGAAAGCTTTGCTATTGTATAATTTGCCCATTTTCCATGCTTAATATAGTCATATCACCCGTCACAGTAGCTTAGCGAATGCGTTTTCAGGTTGTCGGACAGCCGCTGCAGCATCTGAATAACTCTAGACCTCCCAATCGGACGTTATTCTGCAGAAAATGTGAAGGTCATGGACTGCAAGTGGTTTTGAAGGGACATGCATCACGATGTCCATACAATAACTGTCAGTGCAAGACGGTAAGTGATTAATAATTATACAAACTTTACTTTTATGTTTTGTTTGCAAGAAAGCTTAAAAATATGCTGATCTTTGGAAATGTTTGCGTACGGCGGTAAGGTTATGTTTTCAACGTGCGGATCGCGGTAGTGATCAGTCGTTCAACACTTGGCGTAGTAGTCTATGATCATGACGTTTGCACAGCCCGGTACCACGGGACGAGTTTTTCACATGAAAAACATTGGATTTTCGGCGCAACATGATTTATAGTTGTTGCGGCATGTCTGCAATTCGACCTTACTATGTTTGGAAGTCCTAAAATATTTTGTAAACGTTCTACTTTTATAGTTTGGAAACATCAACCCTGTTTATTCAGGTTTAGCGTACTTCGTATTTTTGTATCAATTGTTTTGACGTCAGAAAAAGTGCAAGTCTCTTCCCTGTTTATGTTTTGCAAGAGCTTACTGTCTCTAATCACTTGTTGTTTTCGTTCATTCAAGAAGTTACACCCGTTTTTCTCAATGCGTTAATTATGATAGGAGAAAAAGTGGTTAGGACAAAAAAAAAGTTTTGTAGCTACATCGCTTCTGTTTTGATCTAGGTGTAGTTTCACACACATTACCAAACAGATTTTGCAATAGTTAGTGGCAGCTGACCTCAGCTCAAAGCCCAGAGCAGAAAATCACCAAAGTCTCAGACGTGTAGATCATTTCGGCAAATGTTACTCTAACATAAGTATCTTTCAAATTAGCGAGACCGAGAGTCGACTCTTTACCTCAGAACGACTCTGTACTGAATGCGGTCGACGAGGAAGCAATCAGCTTGCGTATAGGTGTGTGGACAACAGCTGCGCTTACACGTGGATAATGTTTTTTGCTTCTTTTTGTTCTTTAACTGTATATAATGTGGCGCCCACAATGCAGAGAGCCACATGCGGCATTTGCTGATTGGATATACAACACTTATTCCCCGTGTGCAATTCCATACATAGTGTTGGTCCCTTGTCGGAATATTTCAGTTACATCTGCAGCGTTCTAAAATGTTGAGATATAAGAATTCAATAGTTTAGAAATGACATGCATATTGAACATGTCAGCTGCGTACTACTGACATCCTGCTGCGGCCTGTGAATCATTGAGACCTTAGTAGTTTTCAGTTTTTGAATACATTTGAACTATGTAAATGGTTTGAACATACAAGGCCTGACATCTTGCATTTCTTTCAGTGTTCCAATGTGATGTCAATGAGAGCTAATGCCATTATAAGAAGATATCGAACTCGAACACTCGAAGGGGGTTTGGTACTGAAACCGGTACATTTCAAAAACGGCAACACACGTCTCAGAGTCTTTCCGAAATATGTTGATGGTGGGTTTTTTAACTCATTTATCCTTAGTGCTTTGTAATCTCTTCTGAAGAATCTGCAATGTCTGTTTTGTAGAGTCTGACGCGTTGCCAATTCCGATGGAGCGTCCCCGTGAAAAGCATTCCTCTGGTGACGATGTTAGTGCTAGGAGCCAGGTACAGCCTATTACACCTCCAGCTAACGGAGGTGCTTGTGGTGGACCATTTGCTGTGAAGCGAAGTTTCAGTGAAGTGAGTTAGACCTAAAATGGTCACTTTGACCGCTTTAAGGAGGGTGGCTTGCAGACGCAAGTGGACTGTCTTCAGGAGGCAGAACAACGTTCTTCACCAAAGCGCTCATTCGCTGAGACGAATGATTCACCGGTGGAATCGACCCCACAAACGCAGTTCTCACAGTATTTACAACCTAATCTTTTGGATCTGCTTTTGAGTAAGTTTTGCAGAGTTCTGGATGTTTTCTGCCATTCCTACTGTTCCTGAAAAATTTCTTTTGTTAAAGATGTCTTTAGTAATGGTCATGGGCTCATATCGCCTGCATTTAGAAATTCTAATGCTCCACTAAAGAGTGTTTGTTAGGTTACATATGAAGTTAGCTTCGTGGCTAAAGATTTTGCTAATTAGGCTTATTACAAAGGGATTGTAGCAGCTGCTCCAGCTGCTCAGCTCGTTTCGATATTTTTGGCGGTTGGTCCGCAGTTAGTTTTGTATGGTCCTGCTGTGGTGTAGGAAGTTGCAGAATTGCGGAGCAGTTGTCCGTCTTTTTACAGTTTCCACTCGATTTTGTCTACTTCGCATATCAAAACATTTAAGAAAATTCAAGTAGGCAAAATCCGCATATTATAATTGTAGGGTTTGCTTTTCAGAACATCAGCTGTCGAACGGTGATCCAGCCACTAATCTTCTTACACAAAACATTCTTGGACTACCATCGAACTGCTTGCCCGTCTGCCCTCTGCCTCAGTATGATCCTCCGTCTACAACACTTCTTGCCTCCACATTGTCTAGTCTACCAACTGCCTCGCTTACGTACTCATCCCCAGTGACCTCTTATCCGAATCCGTTTTTGACTGCTTCGTCTAACATCAACTCTTCAACGAGAACACAGGAAGACAATGTAAGTTGCACACTAATTTTGATGTTCTCTCATAAACATCAATTTAATTCTTTGCAGGAACCTGTGGTATGTCCTACTAGCCAACTTAGTGAATTATCAATTGGCATGTCGGAACCAAATGTCTCTGAGCATCAGAAATTAACTCCCGGAATGATCATGATCACAGGTAAACTTTTCTGGAAGTTACGGGTAGTCTCTCAAAAACTCTATTTCAGGACATCAGGTGGATAGAGAGCCGGAACCATTTACTGCAAATCTTATGATCTCACCAACGGCTGACAGAAACCATCCATTATTCAAGCAGTTCCTTGCCACCGTGAAGGAGTTGGAAAAGCAAATGCTGTTTGAGTACAGGACGTAACCTTACGAGAGACTGCGATTTATGTGTTCTACCTTCTGTTAGGATTTTTAGCATTGAATTATGGGTATGTTTTATGGATAGGATCATGGAATGTAATCCTGGTGAAAAGGCATTGTCCACCCAAACTGGGAATGATGAGAATTTGATTCTGTATAATAGCGACCCAACTAGGTGATGGCCTGGTCCCGTTGCAGAAGATAAATGTCGAAGGGAGGAAATTGCTGCAGAAGACAAGCGGGGAGGTGCCCCGCCAATGAACGGGGTATTCTGAAACTAATAATTCCGAAATTGGACTTCATGGTTTCTAGAATTGTCCTAAATTTACCCTTCATCATGATATCAGATTTTCGACATTTCTATCTGCGACGAAGCCCACTTTCGAACTCTATCTTCAAACCACTCACACTGATAGGGGAAGTCTCCTTGGCCGTTTCAAATTTCTGGAGCGATTTTCTCTTTTTAGAATTCATATTTTGCAGCGAGACTTTGGCACTTGCTTGACTAAGGGTCCCACTATTATACAGGATCAAATTCTCATCACCCTCAATTTGGGTGGATAGTGCCTTAAACCAGTTGTGTGAAAGTTGTTTTTAATTTTCATCATCATCTTAGAAGTCATTTTATTTTTGCGAAAGAGTGGACCTCGATATTGTAGAAATACTGACGGACTATTATTACTACGATAATGAAAACGACAGTTTTGTTTCTTCATTACGTTGAAAAATGTTGAGATTTATAATTTTCGAGCCTCTAATATGAGAAAATGGTTGTGATTCCCGTGTGTTTGTCCCTAATTTTATATTTACCGTCAACTTCAATTTTATTTTGGAGAGCTACAATTCTTCACATTTGTTGTTTCGTGTTTTAGCATGTTTTCAAATTCAGTGATAATATTTGTATTCACTGCACAGATTCTATAAAGACATTCGGGTTGTACTTATTTCTGGACTTATTTCTTTCTTATTTGGATGTGTTGAAGTAGATGTCAGGAAAAAGCAGTTTCTCGGAGCAATTTCTTTGGGTAGTGTTTGCTGCTCGGTTCATATTTTGGTTACTTCGTTGCGATATGAAACTTTACCCGCAACCATAAGAGAAGCGGGGGGGGGGAATGGGAGAATCGAAGAAATAGGGAAGTCTAGAGGTAACTGTCAATGATCCTTACTTCGCTCCTAAGTAACTGTCAGTAGTGATCCTTACTTAGGCAGACGCTATACTCCTCGAGGAGTATAGCACCCCTTCGATCGATACGCATCAAATACATGTAAAATCGGCGATTTTTGCCGATATTGGCGATCGCCAGTCGCAAGTACTGGCGACTGCACTTAACTTAGAAGTTGATCGCTTAGGAGTTTCCACATGTTCAATCGATACGTATGTACCAAGTGTGCAGTCGCCGAAACCGATTGCAATCGCCAATCGCTACGAGTGGCGATTGCAGTCGAGTGTTGGCGATCGCTAATCGCTAATTTTGGCGATCCCTAATCGCCAATGTTGGCGACTCCAAGTTGGATGCGTATCGATTGGACGTCTGGTGACTTTTAAGCGCTTAGTACTTATGAAAGACACGGTCGCCAATACTGACGATTGGCGACCGCCAGTTTTGGCACTACACATCGGATACGTATCGATTCGGCAAGTATAAACATGCCAGCAGTCGATAATCATCTGAAGTGCAATCGCCAACTTGAGCGACTGGCGATCGCCAGTCGCTGTGTGTTCTGCCATTTGCTACGTATTGTGGCCGAACCGACCTATACATTAATCATTCCGCAGTAAAGCGGGCGGGTTCGGGGTCAACGGGGCTCTTCTGTTGTAAGCTTCCTCGGTAGTATAGTGGTGAGTATCCGCGTCTCTCACAATAAACGTTCTTAGCGACGTGTTGTGTTTGCTCCCAGAGTAAAAGTTGCCCTATAGTGGCACACTGTGCTACTCGAGGAGTATAGCGCCGGCCTTAGCTCCATTTGCCATTATAACAGTTTAGGCTTGGGGTCAGGCTTGCCCGACCGTCGTATCGAGTGGATCGATAGGGGCGGGTAAGGAGAGAATTATAATCCGGACTTCTTGCTCAACGAAACTACTGAGCGTTTTCTCTGTAATTTAGAGTTACCTAGGCCCACAATAAAGATGACTCAGTCGATCTTGAGGATAGCCTCATTTGAGCCTTCAGCGAGTCATCTCTTCTTCCGTTGAGCCATACATTGGTAGTTCCAGCCATAGATGATGTTATCGTGAGCACGCCTCGTCCATGCAAGTATACGACTCAAAACGCGTTCGCCAAACATCCACATCTTTGAGGTTCACTCGTGGCAAAAATGTAGCAGCACTTTAGATCTTGTTGGGGGTCGTCAGCCTGCATCGTGGCTCCTCATTCAGTATTTCTTCGACGTATTCGTTGTAAACTGACATGTGTTGTAATTTACTTGCAAGGAGTACCTTAAAAAATTTTTTTTGCTTCTCATTATTCCCACACTGCTTGCGTCAGTCGTAGTCTCAACTGGACATGAACTTACAGTATGAGGTAGTCGACCTCGTCCGTTAGATAGACGGCCAACTGCTAGCTCACTTTGCATTCTTATAGCATGGGAAGAAGGCGGTCATCATTTCACTATACGGAATCAACTGAGGCCCTCGGTTCAGATCACTTGAACTGACTGAGTATCACTATGGGCCTGTTCTAGATTGTATGTGACAAAGATGTTCTTTGACTCACCCACAACGGGTGGAGGACCATATGTCGCCGAGTCTGGAAGAGTCCTGCGCAGATTCCCTGCAGGAACGCATGTCCGCGCATATATAAGGGTGCGCATTTGTCGCAAATGACCGCGGGGACCTCCCTTTTTCGGCGACATATAGTCCTCTACCCACCCACAACAAACTGTTACGACATTGCTCTTCGTATAAACACTATGATATCTAACATCGTATACATGTGTCTTGCTTACAAAGGAAGCATGTTTAGTCGAAATGGCCTTTTTAGATGGGATGTACACGATATGAAAGGGCATAAAACGCTGATTCCAAATCTGCCTTCCACATCTACGGGTCGTTTGTTGACGAAGAGTTATGAGCAAAAAATTAAATGTGCGTTTGGAATAAAAGGAGTTGCTAAAATCTTACTAACAAAACTTAAAAAAGCAGTGTTTTGGCAGAATTTTAATCTCCAGTCTTACACTTTCTCGCCGTGCTGAACCCATGTACGATTCTTGCAAAGTTTGAAAATGGCGGGACGCTGCGTTTGAGTACAAACACCCATCGAAAGAATCGAAAGGTTGCTGCATGACGAAGGCGCAATGGCGATATTAGTTGAGCGGGCGCGAACGCGACGCGCGCGTATCCTCACCGTTGTAGATCCCGCAATGCGCTCTGCGGCTAATAAAGCCGCGTTCGCGCCCGAAGATATTGCGCCTTCGTCATGCAGCATCCTAAACTTGGTTTGCGCTTACGGATGACAAAAAACTTAGGGTGAAAGCCAGTATGATAAAGTTACTATCAGACATAACTTTTCAAAGCTCAGAATGTCTGAGCTTTGAAAATGTGTGTGACCCTATTGACTTACCCACCCCTGAACTTCGATGAAATCGTCGACTCCATGGAACGTAGCCGGCGTAGTTTTGCAGAAAGCGAAAAGCGGATTGCATATCGCACTAGTGCTTTAGGATAGAGTTCATTGGGCTATCAGGAGAGTTTATCAGTGGTGCACAGGTCCGCTCGCTATCTGGGATTCAATTTCCAGGTATGATGACTTTACCTGGTAATTTTTACCAGGTAAAGTCATCATTGAACTGTTCTGTGCATATAGCTATGCGCAATGGCAGAAGATGAGAGTACAGATCAGAGAATGTTGAACTCTTTGCAACACGTTGATTTCTTTCCACAGTATCATTCCATGAGCCTGTATTCAGAGCTGAAGGCCAGAGAATAGTCGTTCGATTTGCTGTGGTTACGAGCAGAACATCCGACTTTTCGCGAATGTGTTCTTCAAGTTTAGGTTGTGCGTTCCCGTTCATTGCTGAGAGTTTTAAGAGTCCGTGGCTCTAGTGTCGCAATTATGTTAGACTAAGTTGGTATGTTTCGGTTGGCCATAACCTTTGCACAACTTCTAAAAGTTTGGTATGTCGATACGGTACACTAGGAGATTGCTCAGGTTTGGTCTATTTCACTACACACAGTTTAGTCGTGTAATTGGAGAGTACGTAGGCGAAAAAACGACAACCAGTGTGCATCAGGATCAAGGGGTACTTGGAAGGACTTGCGAAGGGCAGATCATCAACCCATTCAGGCGCTCGCAGCAGTTGCGGCTGTCACAGTCTTATCGCACGAGCCCCCAACAATCTCGCAAAACACGTAAGGAGTTTTGAATTGCTTCGCGAAGTTCAAAAATCAATCGAAAGGAAGAATTGCCACTATAAGCTAGCTGGCACCCTTTCAGACCCTTTGTGGATTTAAGCGCGGGGAGTGATTCTGATATATCTTAGCAGTCGGTGTTCGCCCACTCTTGATTATAGGCTAAAAGGTAATATGCTGTTAGGTTGTATATGTAGTGGGGATAGAGTATGAGAGGTTAGATTACAAGTACCTTTTTCCTAATAGGGTCTGGAGAAGGCTGAAACGCCGAAACTTTAGCCTGGTAAATATAATAATTTTGGCCTTATTACAACATCTACTAAAGATTTCTCGCTCTTTCAAAAGTAGCCTTCAGTTCTAAACTTCTATTCAAAAAATAGCAGCACAATTAGCATTCGATGATGTGTTGGTGTTCTATACCAGCTATCACTATTGCTATCAGATGAAATTTTTCCAGCTCTACTTCTTAACCAGAAGGAGATCACCATTCGCTGAATTTCAGCAAAGCAAGTCTTCGCAGAAGTTGAAAATAGTCGGAAATTTTTTGGTGGTCTTGGCTAACGCCACGCCCCTTCATTCGAAAAATTTAACCCTTTCGGACCTGGTGGTGGCAATTGCCACCATCAATTCAGAGATCTACTATACTGGCGCAAGAACATCATTTCACTACTCATTGCTCTCAAACGCTTCATATAGCCTTTGCCTTCCAAATGTAGCTTCGAGACCGGGTGTTCATTTGCTTCTCTGTGAATAGCATGTACATTTCTGTAAACAAGTGAATTTCAACCAATCAATAATTTGCGCCGGCTTGAGCACCGTTTCAGTATCTCGTTTATTAGCCAAAAAATATTCATAATATTATCATAATGTTTTAGTACGATGCTGAGCAAATGTAACTGTTATCTGTTTGCGGGTCCACATGTTTCGCGGGAGATTTGAAAATCCAAAATAAACGCAAAACCAAAAAATTGAAAAATCAAAAAGAAATAGTTCATAAGGTTAAGCAGACTCCAAACTCCGCTATAATGTTATTCATATGGTAATAAGTAAAAAACACTAGGAGAGAGGCTTCTCGGCTCACTCGCAAAAACTCAGGTCCGAAAGGGTTAACCGATTTTTCGTCAAATTCAAGTACACTGCTGCTATACTTATATGAAAAATAAGATAATTTTCATTTGACATGCGTGCTGTGACCAGCAATAGCGACATGAAATACCTCGTATCGCATACATTTGCTTAATGCTAAAATAGAAAATCTCAAACTTCCTATCCATAAACGATGAATGCAGTTCGAACAGTTTCGATTTAATTATGAGCGGTTTTGAAACTGCAATTACATTTTTCATAAGCATCTTAATAAAAAAAATTACGCAAAAGGTTTGAAAATCAAGCTACACTACTTCCTCGCTCCACTACTTGTCACAAGAAGTTCGTAGAACTTTGACTTGGCATGTTTTAGTATCTGGTCCGTAGTAAAGCCGCCTCAGTCGATCTCGACTGAATAAAATTTCAGTTGAGGCTTCGACGAGTGAGCTTGCCTTCAGTCGGGCCATTGATAGATATTGCCAACTATCCACGATGATAAGATCAAGAACGTCACGCCCATGCAAATATACGAGTCAAAACCCGTCCCCCAGACATTCACATCTCTGTGATTAGAACTAGCGGCGGAGATGTGAGCGCACTTGTTAGAACTTGTTGAGTATTGTCAACCTGCACTGTGGCTCCTCTCCGACATGTTAAAGGCAGTGTCCGGGCAAAAACTCGATTTTGAGTTTTGTGCTTACTTGGGCCTATTCGCTACGCTGAATCCGAAAATGCACATTGTAGAGCGCGAAAATGGCGAAAAACGGCTCTAACACAGGAGGGAAATGAGCAGATGGGCGGGGTCCTCCCCACTGCGAATTCACGTTCCCGGCTTCCGAAGCGACCTTCTCGCTTCCGGTTTCAAGTCAATCATTCGCACTTTGCCGGTAGCGATCTTAGGACGGCTAGCGGAATCGAGAAAATCGCTGCGGGAGCTGGGAGCGTGAAATCGCACTGGGGAAAGCCCCGCCCACCTGCTGATTTCCCTCCTGTATTAGAGCTCTTTTTCGCCGTTTTCACGCTTTCGAATGTGGATTTTCGGATTTAGCATGGCGAACAGGCCCGTATAAGCACAAAATCTCAAAATCGAGTTTTTGCTCGGACACTGCCTTTAAACTGACGTGTATTGTAAGTTACTCAGGAGTAAATTACGAGAAATTTCTCTGCGTATCATCATTGACACACTATTTAAACCAATTTGTAGTCTAACTGAATGTGGACTAACTGAAGTAAGGTAGACTACCTCGTCAGGTAGACGGACGGTCAGCTGAAATTTTATTTTGCATTCGTACAGCATGGGAAGCTGGTGATAGGCAGTCTACCTTACCGAATCTTGGATGAGGGCCTCAGTTCAGTTCACCTGAACTGAATTAGCTTTACTACGGGCCTCTGTCTCAAATCTGTATGGGTTATTTCATAGTGCTTGTTCGCGCAAGTAATCAGACGCAATTTGTCAAAATTTTTCTCACAGAAGTGCTCAAACGACCGAGACCATCGCAAGTTCTGTCACTTTGATTAATTAGTGAAGTGTTCTAGTATCTTCAACTTAGATTATCGTGAAACCTGTGCGTCTTAAGTTCAATTCACTACTGTGTTGAACAGCTTTTCGCGTCATTCTCTCAGTTACGGCCCTAGCGCTGACACAGTCTATCTAAAAAATTTCAAAGTTTTAAGTGTCATTCGTGACTCTGGCTAAGCAATTCTCTTACCTTGCCAGCTCTGCTTCTTCGCTATCATAATAATTGTCAGAGCAAATTCATGTCAAGTCCTCCATGTGGTATGTCTGCCACACTGTGGGCCCAAGTTCCTACCCTTATACCAAATAATTTTCATGCAAACATCTACGGCTCCTCCGAGCTCTCCACCATTAGGTGCAGCTAGGTCAGTCAAATTCGTGTGGCTCTTTCCGAGCTGCGCATTCGCATTTTTCACACAAAGGCGTATGGACTAATGACGTAAAGTAGTGCTTTTTTTGACCCACTGCTAGTGTACATAAATGAAAGGCGCCACTCTGGCTGGGGCTAATTTATCTGTAGCGTCTTGTTGTTATGATTCAAGAAAGTTTCTGCTGTCACCTTATTGGGTTGCTCGTAAACATTGATGTGAAACTTGTTTACTGCGTCGTTATCTGTTGTTGTAGACTAGATAAACACTTCGCAACGTGCAATCTTATTTTATCATATCGTGTACCACTACGACTGTCTTGATTCGGATAAATAATCAAGATTATGCTTTATTCAATTGACGAATACTGAACACGTTTTTGATTCCGTGAGCATTCATATTTCCAAACCCGTATCTCCCAAACTTTAGTTTGCGTCAACTTTGCGATTCTGTTTCGATCAATAATGAAGAAACTGGTCATAGGTAATTTTTTGCCTTTACTTTCCACATATGTATAAACATACATATCGACCAAAGTATTCTCTCTAGTAATGTTTTTTTACTGTATGATGTTCTATTTCTTATGCCGCACAGGTTGGTATGTCTGAGCCCACGAGCGGCAGCGCACGCCGTGAGAAATAGTAGTTTATAAAGATGGGGCTACTGACAGTAATCATTCTACGCAGCTGGAATTTGTTGTCAAAATACTTTGACAGGGCGATTGCTCAAACATACTTTCCGAGTATTTGAGTTGAGTGTTCCAAACCCTGCTTTTGAACTTCCAAGTTTCAAAACCCTTCCCAAATTGCTACAAAAAGTCGAATTTCCTCATATTCTCCTCAAAAGGGAACTTCAGTCTGTTAATTTCAAGTTCGAGCACTAATTTAGACACTGATGGAGTTTCCGACGATATGCGAGCAATCTCTCTGGCAATCCAACATCCAGATGTTGAGGTATGCTAGAAACCGAAAACTAACATAACCGACATGTATGATAACGGGCTATCATAGTGTATGACGGGGAAATCGCGAGATAATAAGGTGCGGCGGGGGGGGGGGGAGGGCGCAGGAATTCCTACCCCCGATGCCCGTAATTAGCACCAGCATTCACACTCCAGAGGCTCCTCGCAGCTTCGCGCAGCAGAGTTCGGCCCCCACCCATCCATCGCCTCAACCACGGCCCGGCGCAGATCGCATGGAAGCAGGCTCGACTTTGTTTGGTACTTTTCCGTTATCCGGACCCATTTTTACAAAAGGCTCTTATAGAATATGTTTTTTAGTCTAAAAACAATTTTTCATAAATTCTAAGAGGACTGTCTCCCAGCCACGTGTCAGCGAAAAATTGACACGTTTCAGTCCGTTTCAACATGTTTTTTCGAGATCATTTCCGAGGTAAAAGAGCATTTGTGATCAGCTAAAAACTGTGCAACTCTTTTCTATAAGAGCAAAACAATCTGGAATCATTATTAGAACATCATGGTCACTTCTAGCAATGATTCAAGATTGTCTTTCTCTTCAAAGTTTCCGCCATGCGAGTTTAGCCAAGAGAGGCTATAAATGATGGCTTAAAGTACCTCACTGCTGCTTGTTCCGCCGCTTAGATGATGGAACCTTAGCGCACTTCTCTATTCTGGGCGAGTCTAATCTGTACATTAGCGACAGTATGACCTCATTATTATAAAAATGTTCATTTTTGATAGTGTTTAATTAAAAATGGGGTCATTATTGACTGAAAAACAAGTTGAACTTACGTCGCTGGATAGGGTAACACAAACTCATGGTAAAACTTGTTAAACATGTAGATGGCATGTCAATTTTTTTGACACGTGGCAAAAGGTTGACACTTCTTACTATGAAGTTGAAACCAGATATAGTACAAGGAATGAAGCATTATCTTTCTTTGAAAAAATGGGTCCGGATAACGGAAAAGTACCCTTTGTTTTTGGGGCGAAAAACAAAGGGGATATCGTTTTTGTGACCAAAAATTGACGTTTTTTCTAGTCGACGCTTCGTTTTAAGGGTTTTTACGTTCAGGGCTGAGAGTCAATGGGCTTCATAAAATTTCGCGAAAGTCAAGGGGGACTTCATTTCCAAGAAGCGTAGAAGAGAACCCATGCCGGGCCCTGGCCTCAACCCTTTACTGATCTCATCCAGAGTTGGTGGAATGCGGGAATAGACGAGCGTAAGAGGTAAGGAAAAGTGAAATCCGAACCCAACATTTCTGCGAAGAAGTGACACGGAATGTCAAAAGTCATTGTAGGGGTATCAAGGCGCTTACTATTAGGTGATCAACAACTAACTAGGAAAGCGTGTTTAGTCGAAGTGGCCTTTTCAGATGAGATCCATACTGCTTTGAAGAGTATTGCACGGTGGTACCAAATCTGTCTTCTAAATCTACCAAGCGCCTCTGAACGCCGAGTTAAGACCGTTTTTTGGAACGAAAAATGAATTGGAATTCGTGTAAAATTGATTATTACAATCTTTACATCTCTCAGATAAAGCAATGTCAAGTACTAGCGTATTAGATAAAATGTATCCATTGCATAAAGGGCTCTGATACTTGACACTAGACCATTTGAGCAAATCTGGGCAATTTTGTTCCAGTCTTGCGTTCAGTTTTTTGACCTGAAAAACGCCCATGACTCGGCATACAGAGGCGCTTGGCAGATTTGGAAGGCAGATTTGAAATCACCGCTTAATGCTCTTCAAAACAGTATGGGTCTCATCTGGGAAGGCCACTTCGACTACACACGCTTCCCTTAAGTTAGCACGAGCAGTGAGAACTTTAAAGCATTTCACTGGAACTTGATCTTATCGACAAGCTTGCAAAGGAGAACCTGATAAATAGTCTCTACAATCAATTTAATCCGGGATTTAATTGACTATGAAGTCTTTCAAACTCCATAGGTATCCCTCTGGAGATAATAATTACGCCTAGAGGGAAGGCGGCTAGCCTTTGGGAACTTCTAGTTTGCCACGAGTAAGGTTGCACAAAGAAAGCCCGTGGCTTCAGGGATTAATATCAATATGTTGACAAAGTTTATATGGTACTTATGTTTATGTTTTTAGTTGATTGCAATAACTACAGTCCATGGATGCGTTCCTGTCGAGCAGGCGACCGCAAATGTTGCGAGATTACAAAGGGCGAATGGTGTAGATGTTAGTGCCAACCGCTTTCTTCCCATCCTAATGATTTGCAGTTCAGGAGCTGATTCCGATCTATAAAGGAGCCGGGGAAGCTATCATACGCAAACCCTTCTTTCGCCATCCTTTCTTTGGAGCTGATGGCATTGGCGACTCTCCAAGCGCTTTTCCCGAGGTTTACACGTTTCGTCTTTCAGAACTATAAGGGCTGATTTTGCATTTTCAGGTCTTACCATCAGATTTCTCAGCCTATGAGTCTGAATGCGCTGCTTTGGCTTTGATACGTCTTACAAAGGAGCACAAGGATGTTACGATTGTAGCTTTGGGACCGCTAACTAACATAGCGCTAGCTTACAAAATCGATGCCAGCTTTGCGGAACGGATACATAAGCTTGTAATTTTGGGCGGAAATTATTTCGGTACTTTTTAAACGCTGCCAGCTTCGATCTGCAGTAAAAATATTTTTAGGTGTCGGTAATGTTGATGAGCATTCATCGGCAGAATTCAACTTCAATGGTGACCCTGAAGCAGCAAAGATCGTGCTTGAAGAAATGGCCACTGACATTACTTTGGTACCTTGGGAAAATGTCTATTTGAAAGGAGCCGAGGTAGGAAAATATGTAGATGTAACGTCAATGTTTATTCTTTGTCAGCATGAGGCAGTAGTAGACTTCGATGCCCATTTGAAGGTGAACAGTCCGTTGGCTTCGTTTCTATCTGTAGCTACACATATAGGTTAGTTTCTAAAAGCTCTAATTTACCAGTTTCTTCCGATTGTCTTCAAAACTCAAGTAAAGGTTTTTTGAGTAAAAGGAGATCAAAACACACAGTCGTTAAAGGCAGTATACGGGCAAGATGGGGGTTTTGGGATTTCAGGGCCATGCGAGAATGGCCCCCCTCAGACACAACATCGCGCAAGTGCGACGTCATAACACTCGACCTAAAGCAAGAAAAACGGCCGGAAAGTGGAGAAACTTACGCCTTGGGGCGGGGTCCTCCAAGCTGTCCGAGTTGGGTGGAGGACTATATGTCGCCGAATGTAGAAGAGTCCCGAGCGGATTTCCTGCAGGAACGCATGTCCGCGCATACACAAGGGCGCGTATTTGTCGCAAATGACCGCGGGGACCGCCCTTTTTCGGCGACATATAGCCCCCTACCCGTCCGAACTCTTGCTATGGCAGAGTACGCATGCCGCCACAGTTAAAATGTAGGGTCTCGCAGCGACTCTGCGTCTCTGCCTTGGTGGGGACCGTCAAATTTCAAATTGTGCGGCTTTACAAAACATATGTTCTCGCCGTTTTCGCACCTTCTAAAGTGGATTTTTGGATTCAGCGTTGTGGATAACCCCGGTAAGTGGATTTTCTAGAAATCGAGTTTTTGCCCGGACACTGATTCTAAAGTATTATAGGTCATTTATACAATCGTGACGACGGATTTGACTGCGGTCTTTGCGCTCACGGAACACTTATACAAAAAAGCATCACTTTAACACTCAGCACAGTCACTTCCAGTGTCTAAATATTATACGTAAGCAGAAAAACCACTCGAGTGGAAAAAAAAAACCAAGAAAACGCGTTTACCGGAAGTGCGTACGTTTGGCTGGTATAGGGCATTTGAGGGATCGTGACGATGGCGCGACCGCGCGTGTCGCGCGCCATCGTCACGATTCTTCGAATGCCCTATACCAGCCAAAATGCCAAACTTGCTTTTTACAATTGCAGGCTAATTGCAGAAGTTTTGACTGTTACCTTATATCTGCAGGCCGTGAAGTAATGAGCAAATATGGTCGTCAGTACGGTTATTGTGACGAAGTGGCGGTCTCAGCAGCTATTAATGAAGAACTTGTTGTGAAAAAAGCACTGAATCTCCGAATTAGCGTTGAACTACAAGGGCAGATGACAAGGTTTGTCCCATCCCCACTTATTTCATTGAGCTACGAGAAAAACATGATTTTTCAGAGGGCAGGTGGTCGTGGACTGGACGGGAATCCTGATTGGTCTCAATGGGGCTGTTACCCAAGCTCGAATTGTGAAAGACAGTGACAAAACCCGGCGAAACATCCATGTTGTGGTCGATATCGATGTCAAAGCTGTCGATAAATGGATGCATAACACTGTCCGCAAAGAAAGAGGGCAGTGGTGAAACGGAAACCAACGACTTGTACATATGCTTTTTCCATATGTGCAATAGGAATCGATTGGAATCTTTGTATGACGCTATCCCGGTCGAAGAGGCCCTGTTTATTTGAGTGCAACTTTAGCCCAAAAATTCCTATTGTGTCTGATAGGTTGACAACAGCTTAATAAACGTGAAGACTCGACCTTCTGCATGTGTGCCGTTTACAGCTCAGATTACCTTTTGAAGGCAGTGTCTCATCAGAATTTGGGTCTCGGATTCTCACAGGATACAACTCTCCTTGAATCTTCATAACCTATATGGGCTCTAATTTGCGCAAAAATCCCAGAAACCCCGTTTTTCGAAGCTCAGAAACAACGCGAAGAGCTTTCCCGCTTCGCTCTATTGTTTTGCTGCAGGGTTAAACACGTCAAAAGGTGTCATCGCCTAGAAAGACGTGTTAAAACGCGATGGCAAACGGACAAGTCGTTCAGCGCCGCCGAATGCGCTCCACGAGCCACTTGAGCCTGTTTTTCTCAGTGTAGAAAAGGCCTGATTAAGTGGAACTTGGGCATTGGCCTATAAGGTCCCCAATGAACTGCATATTTGGTACACCTCATGTTTGGTGGGATACTGTCTCCAAGACGGTAATCACCTCCCCAACCTTCCGCCTGTCTCGCCCTTAGCCTCATCCCGCCTTGAAGTAGGTGAAAATTGCGACTTCACATCTACGCTTTTCTTTTCACATAGGATTCTTGACTAACGAGACCTATGTGACCTCAGCGAAGTCTATATAGTGAGAGACAAACTCTCCAAACCAGTATAGAGGAGGCTAGGAGCTAGGGGGTGGCGAGCAAGAGACGATAGCTGGTGGCTGTCAATATCCATCGTATTTTTACCATTTTTGTCCATCCGCAGGCAGAAATTTAGAGCATTTCCTTCTTTTATGTTTTTATTCAGTGCTATTTGTTTGCTTGAAATAGAAATCTACTGTCAAATTATGGAACACAAGTATCGAATGTAAAACTTTGAGTATTTCAAGTTTTTCTTGCAATGGCATCCAAATTACACTTATCACCGGGCTCCGAGCAGTGCTTATTGGGTAAAGCATTTATCTCAACTTTACTCATTTTGTTCGGCTAACGTTACGCTCGCCTTCGTCAGAGCCTATAAAGCATGCATAGAACATGCGGATTCCCATCCATCTCATCATTGCAGGAATCTAAGAACTGGATTAGACCCCTTTCTGAACCTAAAACATAGCTCACTTTAGCCGATAAAAGCTGTTAGGATTGAATTATGAATATATAAATAATTGGATAGACAAATAAGGAAAGCCTTTGCGAGGAAAGCTAAACGTAATTAGCGGAAGCATGAACTATGCGCGGGAAGCAAGCGAAGTTGCTATGGAGACCAATCCGCGTTGTGGATAGGGATGCAAGGAGCATTTTGACTTCTGGAATTGCATTTTTCGTATTTATTTGTTTATTTGTTTATTCAATATGCTCTTGGCGTTCCTTACAAAACAAAAAATACACAGTTATTCATACTCCAACCGCAATGATTGTGCATCATATTACAATCGTGTTGTTATATTGCTTTTGGTTCCATATGTTGTAATTCTCATTTCTGCAAATAGACGCTGAAGTTATTCTTGAACGTCATTTATTTTTTGTAGTTAAGGTCACCTGCAGATGGAATCAGGAAGCGTATTTGATTTTACGGGATCAGCAAAGTTAATGAGATTGAAGTGAGTTTTTGGACATTCACAGAGGAATGCTTAAATTGAAAGCTGTCTGCAGTCATTATTCGATAAGCTAGACTTGGCGCAAAAGAGATAAACCAAAATCTCAGAATTTTAATATTTGGTAAAGTTATTCCAAATGGGTCACAAATTTGATCTTCAGATGTACATGAGTAAGGTTAGGGTTGAAGGAAAAATGGGAGCCTTGCTGGAACTTTATAGGCTAATATTCCACATAAAAATACCACCAACTCGTTTATAGCAGAAGCGCATTATTTGGAAATGAAAATTCCCGATGTACAACTACTACACTTCCACTTAAGCAAAATGGAAGCAAATTTTGAGATTTTGATCCCACAAATTCTATCTACCGTAATCATTGAGGAGACTGTAAAATGCAAAGAATACCATTCCTTTGATTAGTATCTCGAAGTAGCTTCATGTGTGAAGTTTACATTACTAAATTCTTGTACTTTACTTCAAAAAATCAGCACATGTTGAGTTACTCAAATAGAGTTTATGTTCAACATGTAAAAATGAATTGGGCTTTGTCCTAAAAGACTGGTTTTCTTCTTATTGCAACGCCAGGCACATATCCGCATGACCCTCGCAAGAAATCTTGGATGTGTAGCGAAAAGTGGGCTGTATCATCCAGTAGTCATAAAATCGACTGCACGAAATCGGCCGGGTCGTTGTAGGCTGAACGCACGCGAACGTGCTTGCAACGCGGCTGCCGAGTACGGGCGCTATGCTAACTCATGCGCGCGAATGCCAATGTAAGCCCGCAAGAGACACGCGCGCGGGCGTTCAGCCTGGTCCATGCAGTCAACTATACCAGTCATCCAAATTTCAAATCATAATGTTTTCAAAACCAGATTGCTCCAGGGTAACTTTGGCACAGAGGAGTCTGAGCGATAGTTTGAATGAAACGGAGAATCCTAGCGATACGCTGATCAGCCGAGCTGTAGACGAACTCAGTCTACAATGGCAACAAAAGGTCCCACCTCCCTCACAAAGCGCTCATGCACAGGAAGAGTAAGATTCCATATCAGAAGAAATAGGCTTGCTTACTTGACCGTTCTCAGTTGAGCTGTTTATATTACTTTTTCCAGTTCGGTGAGGAGAGAAGAGCGATTGTTCACATACGTCGAAGGAGATGATCTACCTGCGCATCTAAGGTTACCGGCTGTATCGGAATTCAATCCTGAAACAGAAAGTTTTGCAAAGAATGATTATGAGTGAGTTTAGAAATTAGCCATTTATTTTAAGAAAAAATAGTTCAGTAACAATAAACTCCATCAGCAACGGTTTCTCATCACCCTTCTCTTTTTACCTTCAAATCGATAACAAAATGACCTATTTTTGTTATTTCAAGAATTCAGAGAGCATATTTTTGTGATTGATTTCATATGCCCATTCTTTCTAACCTCTAGTAATCGTAATGCAGTAAACTTTGGGCATGAAATACGCTTATTTGTACTGGTTTTGGTAGGCCCTTTTAGTATTATAGATCAAAAACAATTTGTTGAATAACCAATATCTGAACTTGATCAACTCTAATATGTACAAAAAATTATTTTACATGTTTTACTCTCTTGTCCCTTTCCTTAGACGGTGTTTTGAGATCTAGACCCTCTTTGGGCTTATCACCAATGAGAGAGGGTCTAGTTTGATTTACAAAAGGTTTGAGAAAAATTTCAAACCTCTTCTGTATTTCATTGTTGTCCAAAGTTTGTTGAATCCTTCTGACTTCCTCACATAATTATGACAGAGGGGAAAAATGAGTAAGCTTCAGCAAATGGATTGCACACAGTGCCGTCGTAGATTTGCCTGTAAAGAGGAATCTTCGTGCTGTTCGGTGTCAGAAGAAGGTAATGTACATAATGGCGTATCTCGGCACTCTTACCAGGTGACATTTATAGCATTTGTTTGTTTGACCTGTGGGATGAATGTTTTGTTTTATTTCCATGATGGAATTTTCAAATGCTTTATGCTGGAATTTCCAGAAAATTGAAGCGAAAATGCCGTGGAATACATTTGATTCAATTATCTATACTTTTGACTTGAAAATTCCGCACAACTTTTGCTTGATCAAAATGTAGGGTTTCCACAACAGTGAGAAAAAAATGAGAACTTTTCGCACTTAAATATTCAAACATGACATTTCTATAAAAATTTTCAAGTAGCATAAGAAAATTGCATACAAGTTTTACCATGTTCTCTTTCCTTCGAGAATTCCCATAGAGCCTGAAGATCTTATACTCCGTGCAAAGCAAGGAACGAAAAAGAGACAGGAAGAGTTGTTTTAGGTCAGTGGCATACCGAGAGGGGGAGAGGGCGGAGGGGAGGGGCGCCCCCGAGAATGGGTCGCGAAGTTTTTGGAAGTTACTTACATGAGTTATAAAAATGCGCAAGTGGTTTGAATTGCACTTGTAAATAATTGAAATATTTTTAGAAATAGTAAAAAAATCATTTTAGCTTTATAAAAAATTCTATCTCGGGGTTATGGTCCCGCAAAAATTTTACAAAGCGTACCGAACATTTTTTAGTGCGCGGCTCACGCCACGCACCTTCGCCAGAAATTTTTTTTTGTCCCCCCCCCCCGAACGGAAATCCTGGGTTCGCCACTGTTCTAGGTTGATGCATTCTTGCATCAAAATCTGAAAAATCCACAATTTTCTCCATTTTCGATAAAATTTTACCTCGTGTAAATTGGTAGAAAAAATCTTGCATTTTCTAGCGCACTAATCACTAACGTCTACTATTCTAGATAATTTGTTTTGCTTTGGTTCCTAATGCATTTTTTAAGAGAAAATCCTGCGGTTTAGTGACGTGATTCTAATTCTGCTACTGCCAGATCGTTAGACAAATTCTACCATATCTCTAGTGACGACCATGACTTGTGTTGAGCTTTTATCAGAGTAAAATTATTTGAGCACTTTCTTATTTTAGTGCCTACGACAGCCGGGACGAATACGTTGTGTGCAGGATAACAATGCTAAATGATCGTTCAATGATCATTGAGCCACGCCTATCACATGTTGGCTACAGTATCCATAGTAAGATGGGCGAATACCTGGCTATTGTGCATATTTGGGACGATAATTTCACGCCTATTTACAGCCAACTAGAAACTTGGGTAAGAGGCAACAATTTTCACGAAGGTCCGCATGACAGCACACTCACTTTAGGTTCCACCAATACCAGAAACGCAGTGTTTTGAATTGCCAGAAGAGGAGATGACGAGATTTGTAACGTTGATGAACATAGGTATGTATGTAGGTAGTATGCGCAAATCAACTTCTAAAGCTTATTTTATCAAGATTATGCTACGAATTTCGATTACAAAACAATTTGGATAGAATATCGCGCATACTTTCCGGATAGGACTACATGCACATCTAACAACATCGAGGGACAAACGTCTCAATGTTCCATGGATGAGGTGAGTTTGCTTGATTTGTAGAATGGAACAGAGCTTGAATTGATCTACATTTTGAGGGCTCAAGAAAAATGGGAAAATATGAAATAGCTGAAAAGAGTCGCACAACTAGGTTGTAGCCTTCCATGAGACCTCTAGAAAAAATCATGACATTTTTTTCTTACAGAATGCCCAATTTAACTTCTCCATTCCGATCGAATTTGATTTTGTGGCACCGAAGATCGCTTCTTTCCAACTACGATTCAAAGTGCGATCAGAAGATTTTTGGGGAAGGCAATACGTAGCAGGTTATGCTAGTCTCACTCCATTGCTCGCTCCTGGAAGGTGAGAATACTCGAGTTTGATATCAGCTTGTTGAAAGTAACTTTTTTTATCAAACTCAAAATTCTTCCAGATACTTGATTTTTTTCGAATACCATAGCTTCGAACGTTCATTAAACAATAATAAGAAGAATGCACTTCTAGAACCGACTACCGTGTCGAATTTTGGCGCCCGATTAAAGCCGGTGACAAAATTAGTGAGCTTCGAGAATTTTACATCGGACAAGCCGTCGACATCGACTTTTTCAATTGGAATGAGGTAAGCTTCAAGGCATTTCAATCAATGTTTAGTACAAACTAAATAAAGAACATGAATTCTGAGAAATTTCGCCAAAATTCCTCATTTGATCATATTGGAAATCAAAAATACAAAACATTGCAAAGATTTTTGCTAGCTCTTGTTCTCTTGTAATTCCCGGTACTGCAAAAAAAATTTTTGAGTCACAATTAATATTTGTAAATCTGTCATCATATATCCACTAGCTCCTCATTGTTTACCATGCTGATCCGATAGCCGCAACTCCTCCCTGAGGCTCGTAGATTATATTCTACCATTGTTCTGCCATAAATTAAAGGAGAAATACAGAGAAAAAGGAAATCACGTTTAATTTACAAATTATCTTTTCGGTCTCCAAACGATAATTATATATAGATACTGCTTTGGGATTTCTCCAGTAAACGGGGTGGAAAGGACAAATAAAAAAGGCTGCTACTGAGATAATTTTGGTTTCTTCTTTGGAAAACTGGCGATGTAGACCGTTATCTCACATTTTATTAACTACGCCAATTCAAATTCAGGAAGGTGTCATTTCACGTGCCGGACTGACTACACAATCCTCTGGCACACTCCACATATCCATAACGAATATTGTGCAACGGCGAGATTACATGACACGTGAGACATTGAATCAGATGAAATATGGAGCAATGTTTGGAAGAATGGGGTGAGTTATTGAACGCGATTATTCTTAAACGCGCAACTATTATCTATGATATAAAAAATTCTGGCTTCAGGATGAGATCGGATCTCTATTGGCGGATCATGAAGGTTTTGATGGAGTTCGAAGAAGCCAAACGTCAACTTTTGAATGTGCGGGCAACTCGCTAAACCTTAGTGTCACACAGATGCTTTGAAATAAGCAGAAAGATCAAATATGAAACAGCGCTCTCTATAATTTCCTGGAGATTTTGATCTGATACCAATAAATAGAGTCTTTGTAAAGTTCCATGTACAAAATGAAACTTTATACCATACAGTCTGGACTTTTAGAAAGGTATTAGCGTTAGCGATGCTGCGCTTGATTCAAGTATTGTAGGTGGCATTGTCAGGGAAATTTTACAAGAATTTGATGAAATAAAGAAAATGCGCATAGAGGGGTTTTCAGCGCGGGACTCATATCCTCGTAACGCACAAAATAAATATGACTCAAATCATTCTCAGAACGATAATCAAATAATCCCGTGTTACAACAATGAACAACATTTTATTTTTGCTGTTTTACTAGATACTCTCACCCTAGAAGAACTCAGTGTTATTGAATCTTTTCAAAACCAAATTTTCATGAACTAAGTTTATCATGGATTTCATTAAAAGAGTAAGAAGTCTTGCGGAATATTTCATGAGTAAAAAGTAAATAGGATCAAAAGTAAGAAATTAAAAAATGCGTAGTTATGTTCTGACGATGTTCTGTGCAAATCAACCTCAATCCTAGGCCTCAGTCCTACTCTTTGCTCTTGGCAAAACCAAATCAAACTATTGTTCTGCAGAAGAACTGCGGTTTGAGCTTGTATAAATCGATAAACCATTTCGAATAAAGATGAAGAAGTAGTGGGCGCAAAAGTGCATGCTGGCTTCAAAGATTCCAAAGTGTTATAGGTCATGTGGAGTGTTTTGCCACAACAGTTTATACTCACAAGGGAATGGTCAGAAGTCGAAGTGGCCAATCCATACAAGCTGCATATCAATCGATTCAGCATAGAAGGCTGATTTCAAATGTGTCTTCCTTACCTGCAGAGCGCCTTTGTGGGCGAAGTTATGAGCAGCGTTACTGCGGAAAAATCGTCCACAAAAACTGCGAAATTAGGCAGATCGCTGCTCTTTTAGCTCACCTTTAGGTACGATCCATATAAACTGACCTAGTTACACGTTTTGTTCTAACACTGAGCCGAGAATGGCTTTGTATGGCCAAGTTTGACCTTTACACGCACAATTTCTTAGCAAAATGATGACAATTAACGGCTTATAACTTCGCCTACAAAAGCGCTCTGCAGATAAGGAAGACAGATCTGAAATCAGCATTCTATGCTGCATCGAATAGTATGCAGCTTGCTTGAATTGGCCACTTCGATTTCTGACCATTCCCTTGTCAGCTGATGAAAGTTTGGAAGTCATTGCCATGCTGCTCAGTAATTGCAAGGAATCAGCAGTGATTAGCCATGTAGGGATCCTAATGGATCATTGAGCAGCGGGTTTGTAATTAGGCTCTTCGTCTCGAAAATGCCAGTTGCAGCTTTCTGAAGTTATAGGAACACTTCAGTTCGAAAATTTGATGCCATTTGGCTGACCATTTATAACCCTTGCATCTGTGCGATTTTTTTATACTCAGCTTCTAGAAAAAAGTTAAAATTTGAAAGACCTTCATTTCCTCACACTTGTAATATGAAGAACCAAAAGCCCTAACAGAGGCATCATTGCATTGTTGGGCGCAGTAAGGTTTGCTGTAATGTTCGCTATGTTCCACCTTTTCTTTAGTCTCATTTCCATTCTTCTGGCCAACGATATGCCGGCATCCATTGCCAAATTGTATTTGCAATTGTAATTAAGTCGAGCTGCTGCTGGAACATCTAAAAAAGCGTCTCGCCTGCAGGTCTCTCTCCATTTCGACCATAGATTTCCATGCAACAATGGAGATCCTTGAGTGTTTCGCTATGCTAATCAGATTCCCGCTTACCGTATGTCGTCATTTTTCCTTGGCTTACTATCTGAATTCCATTTTGAACATAAGGAACAGTCCAGTAGCTAAAAATTTAACTGCGGTTCCACTCCGCAAGTGGGTCTTGTTGACTGATTGTGCATTTGTCTTGGTCGAAAATGGGAGTACTTAACGGACAAAGATGACTCTTTCAGCTCTTTCAGTTGGATTGTTTGGTTGCGAACTACAAAAATAGGTTGAGTAGATTTGTTATATTATGAGCTACGATCATGTGACATTGCGCAGAATTTCAAAAAAAAATCGACAATCCAATCATCGTGTTCACTTCACCTCAGCTCTATTCAGTTGAGGAAGCACGAGTTGGGACAGACATAGTTACAAGCTCATGTACTTTATGTGCATCTAAGGCAAGATATCAGGGAAATCAATTTTATTCATATTTGAAGTCATACAATATTGAAGCGCATTTTTTGGCTCAGCTCCTCTCCCCCCCCCCCCCCTGTACCCCGCCAAGTATTTTTTCATATTCGTGTGCAGCAAATTATGGAAAGCTAGGATTTGCACCCTTTCGAGAAAATAAGCCTCTAGCTGCATGTTTCAGATACAAGAAAAACTTTTCGCACACTAACTTTCGGTTTTACATATTTAAGCATTCATTTCTTATTCTACTCTATTGTAGATTAAATGTGGTTCAGCATATCCTTCTCAACTTTCATTTTTTCATTGGCTACTGACACGCTTACGGAACTATCTAAAAAATTCAGAATTTAAATGGTCATTCTTAGAAAGCGAAGAATCTCAAAATAGATGCATCGTGCGTGTGTGTCTGCAGTCAGCACGGAAATCAAATTTGTTCTCAGTGAAAGGAGAAAGAATTGCGCTATACGACAGCAGTTTAAATCTCTTTGTCTATGCTTCAAAAATCTGTGCCCGAACGGTTTTGCAAATATTGTTACGTCTTGCCAGTCTAGTCTATTTGAGTTTGATCAGCTCAATTTGAGCTCAAAATTTTGGGCAGCTCCCCACATAATCTTCCTTGCAACCCATTTCTTTTCCTCGATGAATGTGCATACTGTACCACTTAGTTCTATTTTGATCTAGAATTTCCTTTGACAGCTTCTCAATAACTTTTACTGATGCTACGCTTTTAGTTTTTGCATACAAACTTATCTCAAAAGCTATTCTGACCGAAAAACTGCCACAGAATGGTAAACTTAATAAATGCTGTCTACATTTTCTGGACCCCTCATTCGACAAGAATTCTGTCAACTCCCTCGAGAAAATCGCTGATTTCCTACAGTCATTTTCTCACGGACACAAGCCATTTAGAATGCATACAAAATACTGCTTATTGCCACAGACCTCATTATTCCTTGTTTATTCTCACGCAACGCACAAACAAAAAACAACAACAACTGCCTATCAGCCAGCATCATCGTTCCCGGATGCACATTAATAAGATCTAAGCTTATAATTAGGCAACCCTGCTGCACGGCCAAAAGCAGATTCGTTTATGCCCCGCGGCGATACTTTGATTTCCACCCCCACCACGAAGAGGTACGAGAAATGTTCTTCTCGTCGCAAATTCGATAAGGCCGGGATGTTTGCAACATCCTTCCAATGCATCTTCGGTCGCTCCTGCTGATCTTACTCTGAACAAATCTTGACTTTCGTTTTCCTCATCTGAAATCTTCAGCGGCAGCATCTTCCTTACCATACAGAGCAGAGCTTTCACTGCAGTGCCTGTGTTTTACTAATTTTTGCAGTTAATTCTAGGCAATTAGCGTGAAATTGCACATCTGCTCCTTTGAACAAACACTTCTCTCCCTCCGCTCAGACATTCATTAAGGAAGCGTATTCTTAGGTAGAATAGAGAATTGATCCCATCTTTGATGTACGATTTTCTCTGAGCTCATTTCTATTCCATCAGAGTTGTAAGATGCAGTTTACTCATTTCCTGCAGATGGAACATCTCCTGAAAATATCGTTTTAAGTTTTTACATCATATCAATTTTTACTTGAGCGTAGAATTCCACTAAAACGAGCTTCCCTGCAATCATATAAATTTAGTAGCTTGGTGCAAAAATAATGTCCGTTTTTCCAAACCTATTTTTCGAACAATTTCTTTACGTCAAACTTTTTTTACCGATACAAATTTTGCACATCAATGGAAAGCTTTCTCTATGTGCTTTGTAATGGTGTTTAGGCTCCTATCTTCATCTGTTTACCAGCCTTTTCACGGCAGCACTCAAAATCGAAATTTAATTGCTTTGACTTTCTTGGCCACAGTTCGGGCGCAGATGAATGAATGAATACTTTAAACAAGGCTACTTGGGATGGCTGTTTTTTACCCATTGCATGCATAGATAAAGTTTCGGCCAATATCCATTAACTCTATTGTTTGTAAAGTTGCTGAGAAGATTGTCACAAAAATTTGTTGGCAGTTTATGCACAAAACTATCTCATTCCAGTTGAGCAGTTCGGTTTCATTGAAGGTTCTTCGACCGCCCTTTATCTAGTGCTCTGTGAACATTACTGGAAAATAGCTTTATCTCAAAATCGATTTGGCGATGTTCTTTAGTTCAATCTGTCTGAAGCCTTTGACAAAGTAGGCATCTCCAAATTACGAACTTAGGGTGTCAGTTGACCAAGAGCTTCGATCAAGATCCCATATCGCGCAAGTAGCACGTGCAGCCCTGCACAAACCCTTCCTCTTGCTACGTAACTTGGAGCATGTTGATGAGAAAGTTTACATCAGAATGATGGCTTATGTCCTCCCGCTTAGAATATACTAGCCAAGTTTGAAGTCCATCTGTAAAAAAGGATATCTTGAATTTGGAAAGAGTTTGACTTTTACTCGTATCCTTTTCTATAGACTTGTCCCTAACGACGATTACCCAGCTGCCCTCCTATCCTACAGAAGTGGGTTGGACCACTTCAAGCTCCATAGCCTGCTTCACCGAAGGATTGTTGCTGATATTTGATACATGCTTTTCAAATTACACGACTTAAGACTAAGCTTTTGTCTAGTGAACTCTGGGTTTGGTAGCCTTGCTACTGACGTACAGGCGTTTAATGGCGTCAACAAATTTGAAGAAGCCTTTTTATAACTCCTTTTTTGTCCGTACTGCACGTTGAATTCAATTACCTGATTTTGTCATCTCTTCTGCTAACT